CTGAACAAGTTTAGTATTACCAGGCAGTACGATCTGACCTAAGCTCGCGAAAGCATAACGAGGTCTGGCTGGCATTCCGCGTATATAGTTATACTCGCGCGAAACAATGCCTTTGGATTGTCGCCTTCATTCGATCGGCATCGCCGGCATGACACACAGCCTATAGCAGCACATCCGGCCGCTATCTTTTTCTCGGTGAGTATAATAAGCTCGTAAAAACGATGATGGAGAGGAGAGAGCAAGACTCTCTCTCTCTCTCTCTCTCTCTCTCTCTCTCTTTCTCCCGTGCAATACTATATAACTATATATAGATCTGTGCTTCATGGTCTTTCTATTCTGTGCTTCTCTCGCAAATAGCGCTAACAACTGAGACTCCATTCATTACTCCTCGTAACTCTCCCTCCCTCCCTCTCCTCGTCGCCGTTATGTCCCATCTAAATTTTCATCGTCCTTATATACTTTTCTTTTCCTATCGACCTCTTCCCTCGCTTTCCTCCCCTCTCCTCCCATCATTTTTTACACTCTCAAAGGACCTTAACTTCCTCCTCTATTTGTCATAAAGATTCTTCTTCTTTCCAAATCTCTCCCTCTCTCTGTAATTACAGCAACTCTCTCCCATTTCAATAGACTTACAAGAATATATACGCCTACCGTTTCTGAATTTTTCATCGCTATTGATCTCTATATGGCCAATTTATTTCTGACTTTTTGAATTCTTAACCAAACGCAAACTTCCACCACATTATTTTTTATTCAGCGCGTTAGTATTCAACATTTCGATCGCGCTTGCGCTCACTACCTCATACTCTCTGCCTCAGACACTCAAATTTCATCCTTTATTCCCGGTTGAATCTCTCGTAATAAAGTGGCCGTTCGCGAAGAGTGAAAATTTTATTGCATCGTGTTAGGTTTTAGCCCCCTCCCTCGACTGAAACTATTTCGAATAATATTATCGAATTAAGCTTTTAATTTTCAATCGACGCCCAGTTTTGAGCTAACAACTAAATAGTGACACTAAATTAGACTCATCTATTTGGATTTTTGCATTAGTTTGCGTGACAAAAATAAAATATTATCAATCCTCAGAAGTGTTATGAAATGACTTTTTCTAAATGAAACCTTTTTACACATCCACATCAAAGTTTGTTCACGTGTGTACTGCGTGGGTGTCGTTCCGAGACGCATCTATTTGCCGAACCCTGGCATTTTCGATCGAAAAATCTGACAACACATATGTACATATTTGTGCACTCTCGGTTCATTTCCCTGCAGTGTTATAGACGACTGGTGGTTCATCCGCTCATACACATCCATCTCCATCGGCCTACACTCTATTTTTCCACGTGAAGCTCCCTTGTAACAGGATCTTGCCCTCTCTTTCTCTTTCTTTGCTGCTGTAGCAGCAGCCATCGTCTAATTTGAAAAAAACATCATCTATCATCTGACGCGAGTATGATATATATTGCGCGTCCGGCTGCGGTTTTGAACAAGTCTTTATTGCTACGGAAAGAGAGAGAGAGAGAGAGAGAGAGAGAGAGAGAGAAAAAACTCGCGCAAGAACTTTACTAAAATTTATCTGCCATAGATCCTCCGTACTGAATTTCTTTCTTTTCAGCGATACATTTGTTCCGGCAGCTCGCAACTATTTATTGTCTTAAGACGACGGCAGCTGAAGATCGCGCTTAAATTAATGTTATTTGGACTTGTTTCACTACCTGCCGGCAGAATTGACAGCTAATGATCGAAGATGAAAATGTAGGCGAGGCAGCGCGAGCTATTGATCTGCTTTCAAAGTAGACTCCTTGAAACAGCATCGTGCACGACTCTTTAAATTGGTACACCTGGCGCTGACGACATTCAATCGCGATTTATTCAAGAAAGAAAACGTACAGGACAAGTAACGCGATGTGTTTATTGCGAAACGCGACAGAGTAAACGTTAAGGAGGAAGCGATCTCGTTAAAGTTGTTGTCAAATGCGAGAATCAACTAATCGGGGAATGCCAAATGCACCACGAAAAGTAAGTAGGTTTTTCGTCGTAGCGACGATTTCATCTTCAAGCGAGACGTGTAAACGGTTGTGATATGGAAGGCAGCAGCGGCGTTAGCCCATGACGCCCGCAGGCGAAGGTGTAAATACTTGTGTGCGAGTCTGGTCTCGGCGAAGGAAAAAGAAGAAGAAGGTACAGCTGAGGGGGTTGATCGCAGAATGAATTCTTCCGTTCGGCGAGTGGCCGTTATTTCCCGTGGGTTAGACGCTTTGAGCAGGTTGTTTACTTAGCCAGGTAAAGAAAGAAAAAGAGAGAGAGAGAGCGAGAGACAAAGGGCAGGAGTCATGTGTATCGTGCAGAGTCATTGCATCGAGAAACTTTGGAAATATCGCTCGGGAGAGGGAGGCTAGCAATTAGTTTGTCCACGGGAGCGCGGTAAACAAACACGGATTGGCAGGGGAATCGATGCGCGAGAGAGAAACGGGACGAGCTGTCGATAATCGATAAGTCACCGAAACAAACAGCAAAAAAATCTGGATTATAACACGAGTGTGCACCTGCTCCCGCGCAGATGAATATCGCAACAACGCCCGTATCCCTCGAGAAAGGGCTGCCGCTCGGGTCGCTCGATACTATTTGGATAACTCGACCACGACTGACTGCTGCAGCTTTCTCTCTCCCTGGGTTCGCTTGGGAATTAGGTGAAAGTGCCTGTCCTGCGATACCGTATTCCACAGGGCGCTTAAATATCACAGCAACGATTCATTTTTGCTCGCGCTATACGTTATTCGGCGCATCATCCATTGCGGTGGCGCGGATAGCCTAGGCTGCGCTAAGATCGAACGCTCATCCTACTCACGGGATGACGAACGACCGGCACGAGTCTAAATATATGTAGCGATGAATTCCAAATGAATGTCCTCGATCGAAGACCACACTCGGCGTGTTCCACTGCAATAGAGAGCGCGCGCACGGAGCGAGGAGCGGCGTTGGCAAAGAGACGCGCGAATCGTCGCCGGCGAGAGAGAATATGGCCGAGAGCGAATTGATATCACGCGATTGGCTAAATAAATGCAGATGGCAGGGCGCGAATAAACGCCGCGCGGAGCCGAGCCGAGGAATCGGCCAGAGGCGTGCAAGCGAGCCCCGCGCGCGGAGTTCAACGAACCAGCGCAACGGCCGCTACATACGTGTATATACCTATACTGTATCGTGCGCGCGCCAAGTACGAGACTCGTTTCCTCGTTGACCTCCATCTCTCTCGCACAGACTCCGCTCGCGTCGAGCAACTACATCACGATGGCGCTGGCAGGAGTGCTGCGATGCTCCGCGAGCCATACACTCGCTAGGACAGCTCGAATTTATCTCGCTATCAAATCCGACTCATCAAGCTGTGATACCCGCCTTTTATCTCTCTCTCTCTCTCTCTCTCTCTCTCTCTCTCTCTCTCTCTCTCGTCTCAAAACCACGTAGTTCTTCTGCAGACTAATTGTTACGCAACGAATATAAGGGCCTCTGGGAAGCTCTTACTTGCCTTCTCCTTTTTCGTCGACACGGTTGTTGTTTTACAACAGTTAATCGCTCCGTGCACTCACGGATAAAACACTTTAATGGCTGCTGTAGTGCGCGAGACTCATTTTTTGCTACATTTACCGAGAGTGCATTTAGCTTATAAAGCGGCCAGGTCTTCTCATTTTTATTTTTCCGTCGCGAAATAAGTTATGAGCCCTTGTAATGTAGCGCTGCCCGAGACTCGCGACCCATCGTCACAAGTATAAAGGGCCGTAGGATCCGATCGGATAAACCGCTCGGCACAGCGACAGTCCGAATGCTGGAAAGGGACGGAAGCGAGTCGCTGAGAACCGCGAGAGAGACATCCGTACGTAATTACGGCGAGCGGCCGAATGAAAAAAAAAAGGCGAGCTTCGGTTAATTGCGCGCGCACGCTCGTCCAAGTGCGATTGCAATAAAAGAGTGCACTTCCGCGGGAGCGTCGACGGACGAGCCGGTTCCGCGTGGACATTCTTCGCAGCGGTTGCGTCACTGCGATTATACGGGACACGCTGCTTTACTCCAATTAATAGCCACAGCGCGTCAGTCGGTGCTGAAGCTATAATCCGATTGAAACTCCTTGTCGGCCACCTCGATAATTGTCGTCGGCCACGGTCCAAGTTTCGGAGCTTCGCGAGCAACCTTGATAAACGTCATTTGCGTTGCCGATCGATCGGGCTGCACCGATGTGGTTCCGATCGCAGAATTTTAATGCTCTGGTCGCGTCGCTTCCAGTTTCCCGTTCGCGACTGATCAATCAAACTGCGATTTATCCACGCGTTACATTTGCGATTAACTAGGAGCCTCCGCTAGTTGCCTCGTTGCTTTACCACTGCCAATAATGATTTGCAGTTCGGTTTCAGAACTCAACGCAACGTTGCAGCTACGCTAAGTCGTCAAAGACTACAAGCTTACTTTACGGGGAGCCGAGTCGACCTGCCCGAATTTATTTTCTCTTGCACCCGACGCCGAGCAGTTTCCGTCGAAGTGGAGGCCGAGAAGCCACTGCGCCTCGCCGACTGTTCGGGAGATCGTCGCAACAGCTGTCGCACCTGCAAAGAACGCGGCTCGGCCAGTACGCGTGCATCGTGGTCAATACTTTTTCGAGCAACCTTGACGATGATCTTGACAGCTTGACAGCTCGACGCGCTTCCTACAGCTCTACAGCAGACACGCAAAGGGCACGGACCTGTCAATCATCGCTCCGCGTCACGATTATTCATTTTACCTCGCTGCGAGTGAAATCGTTGCGTGTACGGATAATTCGCCCTGTTAACAGCTTCCCCGGGTGTGATTAGCGATGCCGGGACCGAGAGTAGGCATTAAGACCGTCAACTGGCGTCAATTAGCCGTCGAATCGACGCGCGCTGCTACAGGCGAGACGCCAGTTGCGCTAGAGCTCTCAAGGTAAACGTTCGATTGGCTTCGCAGGCAAGTGAGCACGTTCGCAGGAGACTCACCTTTTGTCCTCGTTAGTTTTCAGTTTTCGGGAGCCACCTGTTCGTTCCGCGCGCGGCACCACTGGGGGAGGGGGTTTCAGCACGGATCGGAACGGCACGGCACGGCACGGCACGGCGCGGCACGGCACGGCACGCACAGCCAAAGGAAAGAAGAACTCAATCCTGAAATCCTCGCGGAGGCTTTGCGCGCACCTATATTACATGCCTGAGATGGATGCTGGAACTGCACACATTATAGAGGTCGCGGACAAGAGGGGAACGCCGAAGCACTGCACAAAACAGAACAGAACAAAAGCACACAGAACAGAACGGAAGAGCTGGAGAGAAGAGTCAGGCGCCGATCGAGGGACGACGGCGAGCCGAGAGCTGGTAGCGCAGCGTCGTCAGCGAGGAGGCGGCTCTCGCGCGCGATTGATACGGACGCGAGGCTGCGCTGCCGGGTACTGACGGCACCGAGTGTACACAGCGCCGCGCGGAGAGCAGCGCGCAGTCCGGGGCTATCGAGCGCAGCTCGGCGCGTCGGCCAATCCGCGGGCCGCCAGCGCCGAGGAGGCGGCCAATCGGGCGCCAGTGCCCACGCCGGCACTCCGCTCGGCTCGGCTCGACTCGGCTCGGCTCGCGCCGCGAGATACTCCTCGACCTGCGCGCCTGCCAGCGCCTGCTGCCGCCCGTAGCCCAATCTTCCTGTCTCGCTTCGACCGACCGACCGCGCCGCGCCAGAGATACGCATCGCGCCTGCCGTGCCTGCCCCCCATACCTGCCGCCAGCCTCGCGGAAACCCGAGCCTCGCTCGCCGAGATTTCGCAACGATATCTCCCCACCGAGCGCGCCAAGTCGACTGCGCGAGTCCTCGGAGGGCTCCCCGTCTCCCCGCGGCGCCGGCTGCCTTCCGACCTTTTCCCTCGCCGCCGACGCTCCCCGAGATAGCTGCACTTGGACGCATTTTCACGTTTCTATTACCGCTTACCAGGCGACGCTCGCTTTACTTACACTTCCTACGAAAGCACTTTCGTTTTCATGCTTTTTTCACACCGCCAGCTCTACGGCTTCCCTTGCGAACGGAGGCTCAAATTCTATCCCAAATTTCTATTGCACTGCGAACGAACGTTTTGCAATAATGAATATTATCCAAATATTTGCATTAGATTTATGAAAAGTGCGCGTTCCCCTGGCGTAGTATGTCACAGCAACGCTGATACAGCGGAGACGGAAGGCAAGTGGTAAGCTTCGCCACGAGCGGAACAGGAAATGCATTTGGTCATCAGTAATTGGCGCAGTGGTCTTGCAACTTGCCTCTCGGCTCTAAGTACCTTTCGAAGCTCCCACCATTAATATTAATTAGGGACTGAATACTAGTTCACGCCTCGACTCCGCTTGTTTAATTTTCCCTCACACCTATATTAAATTTTAATCACTTTGGAGCATTGCTACATAAATACACATTTTTACGACCTGAAAAACTTTTAATAATAAATATTTATTCGTATGCTTTTTCGTTTTACGACTACGCGTACAAACTTCAACTGCTACCTATAAATGACAGATTGATGCTGTACATTATTCTACATCAATATAATACCTTTACTTGTCAAAGTTTATTTAAGCTAATATCACAGAAAATGTACCAGCACATAGACACACGTCTACATATAATACTGCAATACTGTTCTAAATACTGCTGAATCGTCAAAGGTAAATAACACAACGAGAAATACGCTATTTGAACGTACAAGAGGGTAGTAAATTAATTACTGACTATGGCGTGCAACTGCTATCTCTCCTGTGCTAACATGAAACAATTGGCACAACATCGTTAAATAAGAAAGTTTCTTAGCTTTTGTTTAACACGCTTAAAAGTCAGTAGCATTGTCGCGGATACAAAATGTTGTAAACAGGAACAACAATATTGCCAATAGAGCAAATATTGGCAACTGACAATTCAAGCAATTAATTTAAATTTTCACACAAGTACAGTCGCATAGTTGCAGATTGCTTGGGAACAGGAATACTCCTAGACCTTCTTCATTATTCTATGTGATTACTAGCCTACGACTCGCTCGCATCGGTTCCTAAAAACTCGCTGCTCATTTTTGTTACTGTCACGATTTTTATTGCGACGTTACATGTCTGTTACTTACTCATCGCTTACTTTTCCAATAATTATCACGCAGCACGTTATAGTTTTTCTACGTTAACTACTTTACTAGTACTGGAATGTACAAGTTGCAGACAACGTATTCCATTGTACCTTCCCGTGGAGTTATGAGACAACGCGTTGCTATAAGATTTTAGTAGGTCAATTTTAAGTAATTGATAAATCTACCATGGATTCAAATACGTTAATACTTTAATGTAAAAAAGATAGAAAGTCGATCTTGTCTTCAGCCGATTGTCAAAGCTAAATTAATTTTCTAAAATTGATGAATATAATACTCACGAAATTGGGGGCGCAACAGATGTTCCTAGGTTACGAAATTCTAATAAGCAGACGATGTCGGTGCAGCGTGGATATTGTCAGTGCTAATTGAAAATCTCATGTGGATGCGGTTTAATTGGAGGTCGTTGGTGCGTTAGGAAGGTCGAGCCGGCTGAGGACAGTAATTCGATAGACAGCGTCGGATTGGAATAATAAGCCATGAGCGAGCAAAAATCGGCAGAAACTAAGGCAGCAAGAGCGATTGATATAGAGGAGTGAGAGAGAGAGAGAGAGAGAGCAATACAAGAAACAGCATAGTAACGGCGTCATTGAGCGGAACCGACTGTCCTCGTCGAATCTGGCCGCGATTCAAACTTGATTGATGATTATCATTATGCGCTCACTCGTACTGTGCCGTACGACTCATTTGACTTCCGCTGTGTGCACCTACATTCAACTTTCCGCTGCTGACCGAAAAATGCCCGCATTCGCGATCGCACGCGTGTATATATACACGCGTGCTCGCATACAACTCTGCTCCACGCAAACATTTAGGCGCCCGTGCAACTATTGTTTATCGCACGCTCTATTCTAGCGGAGCACAACTACCCCTGTACGGGCGTAACGCGTGACAATTAAAACTCGCTCTACTCGTTCGAATTAACTCGCAGAAATTTTGCACCCGCCATTTCATCGAGTCCACTTCATTCCCCCAAGTTCTTTCCTCGTTAGTCAAACAATTTGTCAACTATATCTTCATTGCGTTGTTTTGTATTATAAAAGTATGAAAGTACGCTCCGAATAAAATAAACCGTTGGATTTCTCAGTAGAAATATTATTTGCGCGTCGGATGAAGGAAAGAGCTGGTACCCGTCGAGATGAAATGCTCGAGTGTAGATCGCAGAACGCCCGGAGAGCCAAGCTAAAGAATCCTTTGACCTAATGAGAAAAGCAATTGAAGGGTGGTCTTTGCGATGAAAAGAAGCACTATACCACCGCGGAAAAAGAATCATAGCTAATTTTGATATACAGGTCTGAAATTTGGATCTTGAAATTGTTCTCGTTGTCTCGATTAAAAGTGGCAGGCATGCGTAGGTCATCGAGAGACGCACGACGCGAGGAGAAATCGCTGCGGCTCGGTGGTGGCGGTGAGGCCAGCGCGCCAAATCGGAGCAGATCGCGCGAGTGCGTGGGGCCAAGTCTGCGGGTGCGTGCTGCCACTGCACAGCCTATAACCAACGAGAAACCAGACGTATCCAGACAGGCGTGGGGCGAGCGAGTGGTCTGCTGCAGAAACTGAATTACTGATCCGCCGTGTGATGCAGTTGCGCGCGCGCGCGCAGTTGGTTTGACTAATGGGCACGCACCGCAGGATTAGCGTCAATCGGTTATCGCGCCTGCTGCGCGCATTGGCTCTATCGTTGTTAGCGCTGCAGCAGCTGCTGCAACAATCAAACGACTCGACGCCCATTTATCCGGATCTCACCACTTCCATTATTCGTTATCCTCATTTTCCAATTTTCCATCGGCACTCCTATCACCTATATATCTGCAATCTTGCTATTCGCCTAGGTATGCCATTCTAGCGACTATTTGAGCGATTTTTCCAACTTTTTTTTGGGGTGCCCAAGTAATCTTTTCGCTGAATCGTCAAACTGCAAGCGCTTCAATTGTTCACAGGCGTCCTCCTGTTTTGATCTTACAAACCCTTCTTGAAAGTCTACTACGAAATATCTTTTTGTCCAATAAGAGTCCAGTCTAGGTTAAACCTAACATTTTCATCGTCTTGTTTCTTTATATTTTCTAAGACATTTTCAAAATTCTTTGCATAAGTTTAGAATAGTCCCGAGTTTCGGCATTTGTCTATTACAAGTTATTTTTACGAGACAACGTCCTCAGTCAAGATTCAAACTGGAATTTTAAACTGACCGAAATACTTGTCGAAAACCATATTTTGGTCTATTTCTACTCCAGAATTAACTGAAAGGTACCAGCTAAACAATTTCATTAGCTTTGAGTTTTCAACACTCTGTAGAGATCATGAGCTTAAAACAAAACTAATATGTAGTTACAGTGGTATTTTTGATCTATAACATTCAAATTAAGTCATTTTCGATTTTGTAAACTCGACAGCCTATGAAAAGTTATATATTTTTTATTTATTAGGAAGAATTAATATCTTGCAAAGTATAATGTGCATGAACGTCTGATAATGGTTGCCTTTTTGTCGTGTAACTTGAAGTATTTCACGTTATCTACGTTCTCCGGAAATGAAGTACGTTGTTCTACTTCACCGGTGACTTTCATTGCTTGATTCTGATCTATAGAACTTTCAAAGTACAGATGCTACAAATGCTTTGAAGTGTTCCTTTTTCGAGATGAAGCTTTATAGTTTTGCTATTACCAAAGCAACGTATTTTCTATATAGCTATTTATTTCAAATTCTACGCATCATTTATTGAGTGTTCGACGTTTAATGGCATTACACCGAGTTTACCACTTACAGTAATAAAAAGTTTAGCTTATAGGTTACATATGAATGCGCGTTAAAAATTATTTTTAATGTTTTGTCGTCGATTATAAACACAACAATAAAACGTTAAAGAAATATAAGGTACTACGATATAAATGAGATGAAATTTTCTTTCCAACGAGTTGGAACAAGCCATCTCCGAGCGAGTTTGTATAGCGGTGGAAAAAAATTGTTCTTAATGATATCATATACTTTAACGTATTCCGAACTTTATGCTTATTTGGTATTATCCAAGTTTCCTTGAAAACAAATCAAAGTTGGGCTCTCGAGAGACCCTGTTCGAGTGGCGTTAAGAGGAAGAGCCGAGAGGAAAAATGCAGCTAAAAACTATATAGCCGAAGTCTCGTGCGACCGCAGCCATAGCCGGCAAAATCGATCGAAATAGCTCTGCTCGCAGATACTCTTCTATCTTCTCTCTCTCTCTCTCTCTCACGCTCTCTCTCTTTCGGCCGCGCGCGGCCGAGCCTTTTCGAAACTCAATTTT